TTTGCTACTATATATGCTAAGGCAAGTTTGTGCAAGTGGTCGGCGGCCGTGATCGTCTAGTGGTTAGGACATTGCGTTGTGGCCGCAATAACCTAGGTTCGGATCCTGGTCACGGCATGGGCTTAATATTTTCAATTTTTATAAATAATGTGATCTTGGCTACTATATATGCTAAGGCCAGTTTGTGCAAGTGGTCGGCGGGCGTGATCGTCTAGTGGTTAGGACATTGCATTGTGGCCGCAATAACCCAGGTTCGAATCATGGTAACGGCATGGGCTTAATATTTTCAATTTTTATAAATAATGTGATCTTTGCTACTATATATGCTAAGGCAAGTTTGTGCAAGTGGTCGGCGGCCGTGATCGTCTAGTGGTTAGAACATTGTGTTTTGGCCGCAATAACCCAGGTTCGAATCGTGGTCACGGCAAAAGCTTGCATTTTGAATATATTTTTCTACGGCATAGCTTCGCTTAATATAAATAAAAGCAGGTTTCCTGCGAACGGTCGGTTGTATAGTGGTTGAAACACAATTTCGTATGTTCGTCACCGGAGATGTTATAATAATAATCTCCCCTTCAAACATAAATAATGTTTATTTACAAACCCCGGGGACATTGCTAAAAAAATTGGAATTTTCACATTTGGCTGATATTATTTGGTAATACATCAACAATCGCCCTTTTTTCCGAGCCCTGGGAAGACGTTAAATATTCGAAGTACATGTGGTTATAATAAGGTCAATAGAGCAATTGTTGCCGCTGAGCTTAATATCACGCACTCGTGTTTCCTAGGTGCTATGCTCTCTATCTATAATTTCTTAAGTGAAACTTTAGTTCTGGCGTATATCTGGATCACGCGCCAACCATAATGTATTTTTTTCTTTATTTACGTCAGAAACAGTTAAAAATGTGTGTGATGTGCTATGGGTAGAAGTCAATTTGAAGTTACATTTATGTCCAGAAGCAGAACAAGGGGATATATTAGCATTTGCTCGAGGATAAGTGAAACTGGACGAAAACCTGATCGAGATGACTGTCAATGACCCAGAAGATGAAGTACAATACTTGCTACAGGTTCTTTAGAATTATACAATCCAGATGGTATATAATACATTAAATGTCATTGTAAAAATTAATATTACTTTTCTTTTGAATGCTCGGATCAATTTTGTAACTACCAGAATATGGCACCTGAGTTTTATTTTGATGATGGGGTTTTTACAGAATATCACTTCATAAAAGAAAATGAAAATAGCTGTTCATGTCCGGTTGAAGGAATTGATGCATTTTGTCAGTCAGTAATGGCAGGTTGGACATGCAGATGATTAGTGAACATAAGCTAAATACAGGGGAACAAACCTTATGCTGGACGATAAACCTGATTCAATAACTGGTGCTTTGGTTAGTGTGGTCACGGTATCACTTCAGGGTATAAGAGCGCTACCTCAAATAACATCACTTTCATAAAAACGAAAGAGCGGGTAGAGTATCATTTTAACCAGCCTTCATACAAGAAAAAACTGGCTGTCATTATAGAAAGCAAAATAGTTCGCACAATCGTCCTAAGCTGTAAACCAGTGGAAAAGAAAGAATGAAGCCAACAAAACATGTAGTCAACACAAAGAAAAACCAAACCCACAAAATATAGAAAAAATATTATCTTCTCACAGTAAAAGTTTAAGTGATCCTCCCCTAGGCTCTAGCAATGGAAATGATGAGGATATTTTTTATATTGAATCGAAGGACGCCATTCGTACTTTCTGCAATGAACACTATTCAGAGGACTTCTCCGGGCAACAGTAGCAACTCTGCGCAACATCTTTCAATTGGAAACAGACATTTTGTGATGTAGCAAGTTGGGAAGGAAGGAAGGAAATATGAGTGTACTTATTGCAGGAACATTTAAAACATCTTTGCCATCGACAGAAAATTGCAACGATTATTAAAGTCAATATTTATATGCGTAATGTGGTTTAAAAATTTAAACTTACATAAGAAGCTAAAAAGCACGATTTTTTATTTGTATGAAGTACTCAGGGTAAATTGATTTAAATTCGACAAAAATCTTGTTTTTTACACCCAAATTACAATTTTGAACATAAAAAGAAATGTATCAACAGGGGTAGCTTTGGCTATCTTAATCCACTATCCTCTTTTTGGTTTCCAGGTGAGATTTTATCTTTTATAAGTCGTTTATCTTTTATATTGTATTATGACCTGTCTATTAGATTTGGTTTCAATACTCTACAGATACCTATTATTTATAGACAGTTATATTTGTATACTTATAATAAGAAAGCGATGACCCCCCCCCCTCTCTCTCTCTCTCACACACACACACACTTTTGACCATGCACCACAACAACATTCGTACTTTCCAGATTCCGTTCCCAGTACGTAATGATTGAATTGAATTGGCCTTATTGTACGTGGCGAAACTCGGGCCATCACGCCCGCTCTTCCGTCTGACCACGCAAATTTCCCTACGCTCCTTTCATCTAGCAGAGAAAGGAGGTATTTCTTGGGCGAGAAACAGGCGATTTGAATTTAG